TACTTACCGTGTTTTAGCTCAATTTTAATTAGGGCCGTGAGTAGCACTTAATAACCTTGACAAAACTTCACTATAGGAAAGGGAAGGAGGGCGCCACCAAACTTACATAAACATATCATTTAAGGTGAATTATAATAGTTTGGCAAATATAATTAATATGACTGATGTTAAAACAAGAATGTATATGTTTATGCAGGCAAGTAACAATTACAATATACACAAGCCATGATTTATTTAAATTACTTCTTTATTTTAAAAATATAGTTATAAAATATTAAAATAACGGAACTAGAAGAGTAACCGTTACAATATATTCAGGAAATGGTATATGTTCCTTTGTCAACCATTCTTTAATTTTATCAACAGTCCAAGAATTCGATGTACTTTTGTTTAATATTTCAGAATTACATTGTCTAAAATAATTACGCTGGGCTCACTTAAACCTGAGAGAAGTTTTTCATGCAACCATTTTACAAACATTTCTGTGTTCATATTATCGTGATAGTCACTGGATTTTGATTTAGATTAAAATATTAAATCAGCACCTTCTTAAAACCCGATTTCCCTCCTGCATGTAAAATTTTCATCTTGCCATATTCTCTTGGTTGTACCCCTAGAAAATATCCATGTTTCGTCTAAATATATAAAATTCGCCCCTTCTTCTTTAAATTTAGAATATTTTCTTAGAAAGTTAATTCTCTTGTGCACGACAGAACTTCTTTCAGAAAAGGCCTTTCTGTTATCCTCCTTTTGAAATTTGAAACCCAAGTTATGTGTCAATTGCCATAGACTTGTTCTGCCAATGTTTTCAAATTTTCTATCTATTAATTCCGAGAGAATTGTATTTAAGGTCACATGTTCCTTGTTGACCCTCATTCGATAAATGGTATCACGAATTTCAAATTTCTTTCCATCTGGTATATCTTTCGTTTTCAATAATGGGCGAGTTTTGCGGTGATCTTCTTTCGGCAGTTCACTATTGTGATTTTGTAATACTCCTCTTAATTTGGTTTCACTAGTTCCTAGAGCATCGCATACGCGTTGTTGTACAGACATTACCGATTTTAAAGGACCACTATTTTCTTTTTCATCCATAAAATACTTATGTACGCTACAAATTAGACTATCTACATCTAACACACGTCTAGGCATTTTTAAAAAATCCACTAAATTTATAATATACATACAATGTTAACACTTGCTAAGAATCAATTCAACTGCAATATTTGTAACAAATTTAGTACCTACCCCAATGTTATTTTAATTTAAATCTGACCATTAGGGTAATTTTACCTAATTTCTTGGGATGAGGCTTATTGGAACTGGTTGTCAATGACTAATTTATATAATTTTGTTAATCCGAAACCCGCGTAAGTATAGCGAACAGACTGTACTTAATTTTAGTGTCTTCTATTGGTTGAATCAATCCTTTCTTAAATTTCTATTTGCAGTAGCCCACCATAGCCTCTAAAAAATGTTCGTACACGTGAACTGGGATATCCAATAATAATATAAAAATCGAATTCAAATCGTTACACTCTCGATCCTGCCCTGTAAAAACGATTTAATTGTTAATTATCAAATAATTTATTATTACTTTTTCTTTTTCTTTAAATTTTTAATTAGTATCTACTCCGAAAATGTGTGTTAATTTGACTTAATCGGTGCACTTCAACACTGGTTTAGAATGATATAATTGCTTCCTCCAGTTTTATTACATCCCATAAAATAATTGTGTGTGACATAAGACAATTTTAAACAACAATACTAATAAAATATGTTAAATTAATGTTTTCGTTGATATCTGCATAATAAATTCCCCTAAATGGTATTCCATTGAGAAAATTTAATGATGAAAAAGATATGAAATATAATAATATAATAATAATGTTTATTTATCAAAAGATAATAAGTACAGAAAGTAACGTAGGTACATTATGAGGTTAGAAAGTAATTAAACAAAAAAAAAATTCGTTAGGAAAAATCAGTGGGTTTTTGAATATTAAATTAAATACTATTATTTCGAAACAAACAAAACATAACATAGAAAACGAATTGTGTTTATATAAACTTTACATGATTCTTCATCTTTTTTTTGAACACATTTACACTTGAACTTGCTTTGACGTCATCAGGCAGAATATTAAACTGAACTATACCCTTATGAAACAAACTTTTCATAGAGCTGGTTTTGTTACTTGAATTCACATAAAAATTTATAGAATTTGCCGTTCTAGTGTTACGCCCGTGAATATTTGCAACTGGTACAAGCTGACAGTTTAAGTATTCAGGTAATATGTTGTTAACAATTTTATATATAAATATCATCGTCTGAATATAAAGTAGATGTTCAATTTTCATCCAATTTAAAGCTTCCAACATTAACTGTAAACTAGTAAAACGATTACATCCCAATATTGCCCGCATTGCCTTATTCTGAAGGATTTGTAACCTATCAAAATTAGAACACCCTGTATAAATAATAGTACTACAGTAATAGAAATGAGGTAATATCAGTGTATTATAGATGGTTTGTCTAGTCGATATAGATAAAAACAGTGATGCCCTTCTCATAAAACCAATTTTTTTAGACATATAACCAATGTGCTTATTAAATTTCAATTCTCTGTCTAGTATTAACCCTAAGTATTTTATTTCTTCAACATTCTCAATGACTTCGTCATTTATGACTACATTTAAATTTAAACCTAAATACTTATTATACAGAAAATTATTCCCAATAAACATAGACTTCGACTTTATTTCATTTACTTTTAATTTATTAATTTTAAATTTATCTGTTAATAATTTTAATTCTGAGTTTAAAGTTTGAATTACTGTTCCAAAATCTTTCCCATACCAATAAATTAATGTATCGTCAGCGAATAGATGAATTTTACATTTGTTTAGTACAGATCCCAAATCATTTATATATAATATAAAGAGTAAAGGACCCAAGACACTGCCCTGGGGAACGCCTACATCGTTTAATAATAAATCTGATGTATTATCATTAATCTTTGTTTTTTGAAATCTATTTGATAGATAATTTTCTAACCAATAATATACAGAACCATTAAACCCATACCTTTTTAATTTTAATAAAAGAATTCTGCGATCTATAGTTTCAAAAGCTCTTCGAAGGTCTATAAAAACTGCGCAAATGCCAATTCCTGGTTTATCTAATATTTTTTTCATGTCAGACACAACTAACTGCAGAGCCGTTTCACAAGAATGTGAGTTTCTGAAACCTGATTGATAACTGCATAATGTATCATTATCATTTAAAAACTTCACAATTTGTTTATACACAACAAGTTCGAGTACCTTTTCACAAAATGGCAACATATTTATAGGTCTCAGTTGATCAACTCTATTTGTATTTATCACCTTAGGAATAGGAACTATGGTAGATGTTTTAAAACATTGAGGAACAGTTCCTTTTTCCAAACTTAAATTAATCAAATTTAATAAAGGATAACCCAGAACGTGATAAAGATGCCTAATTAAATCAATACCAATTTCATCTGTACTATTTTTGTTTTTCTTTTGGGAATTAATTATTTCATAAAGTTGTTGAATATTAATCATCTGGAAATTTGTCATTATTACAGCATTTATTGGAATTGAATCAAGCAGGACGTCATCACATATTCCAGTTATTCCTATATTTACCACTAGGTCATTTATACTTGTTACATAATACTGATTTAAAATATTTGGCAGATTATTACTATAAATTATTCCATTACAATGTAAGGTTTCTGATATTATTTCTGTATTTTTCGTTCCTACTATTTTTTTAAGACTTTTCCACATTAATTTCGGATTTCCTCTATTGTCATCAATTGATTTCTCATAGTATTTTATTTTAGCTTCCCTTAAAATTCTAACCGATGAATTTCTGGTTTCCTTATAGTTATTCCAATCCTCTACCTGATTCGTGAAAACAAATTTTTTGTAAGCTCTATTCTTGACAGAAATAGCATTTCTACAATTATTATCAAACCATTGATTAACACAATTAGTTTTTTTTACAATACTTGGTTTAGACACAACATTCATTACAGATAATATGTTATTCATAAATATATCACTAACAATATTTACGTTAGTAAATGAATATCCCCAGTCTTTTTCAATCAACATATTGACCATTTTATCGTAATCTAATTTACCTCTAGTTTTTTTAAAGTCAGTATGCTTTTTTTCTTCCGTTTCCCTTCTTTTAATGTATACGATAGAATGATCAGAAATGATGCAATCCTTACCAACATCAGCGGTTATGGTGTAATCATTAGTGAAGACAAGATCGATGATCGATTTAGAATCTTTAAATATTCTAGTATATTCAGTTACTAATTGTCTCATGCCGTTATTTTCAATACATTCTTGTAACCTTTTTTTCCCTTGGCAATTTTTATCATAGTGAATATTAAAATCTCCTGTAATGATAACACTACAACTACTATTTTGTTCATAATAATTATCCATCCAGTTCAAAAATGTTTCAAGAAACATACTCAAGTTACCCTTAGGTGATCTATACACAACCGCAACACAGTATATTGTATTATGAATTTTTACATTTAGAGATAGAGATAGAGATAGATATGTCTACGCAGAACCAAATGGTTTCATTAATTAATAATATATTAGAAAAACTACTGGTTCTTGTAGAATTCGAACCGATGCTCCTTATTTACATATTTATTTAAGATTATAATTTAAGGCCCTTCTCTAATCCTTTAAACCTTTACGGATTATTGGATTTCGGCTTTCTTAATATTTTACCAATTACTTCCATTTTTATGATACCTTTTTTTTTATATTTATTTAAAATTTTGTTTTTCTTCTTGTCAATATCTATAATTCCATCATCACAACTCTCTATTGATTTATTCTTTCTGTTTTTCCTATTTCTTCCTAGTTCTTACTGTTTCTGAGACCACTTTGATAACGATTTTTATTAGAGTTTTTATATTGAAACATTTTTCCAGGACAAGCCGGAGTCAATCAACTTGGAGGAGTTTTCGTCAACGGTCGACCCTTGCCAGACTGTGTCAGAAGAAGAATTGTGGAATTAGCTTTACTAGGAGTGAGGCCCTGTGATATATCTAGACAACTTTTGGTATCTCACGGATGCGTTTCCAAAATTTTAACTAGATTTTACGAAACAGGTTCAATTAGGCCTGGATCGATTGGAGGATCAAAAACCAAGGTATTTAAACATATTGAAATCAACAATCAACATTAACAATGTCTTTTTAATCTTCGTTTAACACAACGGTGGAATCGGCCTTAGTACCTAGATAAAATGAGTTGATAAGATCGGACTTGTAAATACCTTTGTCGAGTATAATATATTTTTAAACAACACGAATTATTCCCTAAATTGTTCTATCTTGATGGCCAAGTTTCACGAAAGTGATACTTTGATAACGAAATTAATAATATCTCTCTAATCTCAATTTGAAAACATAACGTGTAGACATCATGTAATGGCCGATGTTCCCTAGTTAGGTATTTTATTTTGTCTCATAATTATATCTAGGACATGTGGAAATGTTTTAGTAAATGCAGGGCCGGTTTTGAATGACGACACTATAATAATTTATTAAAACCTTTATTATTATAAAAATTTGCTATTTAAATTATTTTTGTAACTATATTTTTCCACCGATTAATAAAATGGTAACATTTTTAGATATTTAAATCATTCAGTAAATTCTCTGTAATAAATTTAGCATACTTTATACTATGCTTAATCTTATACTTCGTATGATAAATACATTTAAATGTAAACACGTCATTACGTACTATAAACTACATTATCAATTTTTAAAGTATCAATTAATATTTCAACACCACTATTTCTTACTTTTAATATTGCCAAATAAATATACCTACCTACTTATCATAGGAAAGGTAATATTTAGCATAGTTACTGTATTATTTATAGAGATTAGAATGAATAATTTATTTTTATTGTACATTGACGTAAAAATTGGAATAAAAAAAGGACTACGACGAAATGCCGAAATTCTATTTATAATGAATACAAAAACAAACCTTTGTAGATTTAAAAAACCTACCAATTATTTGTATATATTTATTTGAAAGTTTCTTTTTTTCTAAAGATCAGGTTTATTCTTCAAACCTTCCGATTTTCCAACTAAGCAATGTTTAATCTTATTATTTTTTATTCATTAGTAGTTTTAAAAACGTAAAATATACATTAGTACAAAAATTGTATGCTTTAAGATAGAGGTGGATAGAATTATTTCTCTTTAAACTGTGTTTTTAAAAACATGAACTTTTAAAAGATTTTAAGGGTCGGTCCTGGATAAACGGAAGCCTTCTCTAGATTTTTCCGTCTGATAAAACAAGGGTTGTGACATTACAAACACCGGTTACACCACTCAGTAAAGCGTGAAGTTGCATAACTGATACTAGACATTTAAAAAATATTATTTTAAATAATATCAACAGAAATACAACTTTTCTTAATATTATCAGATAGTTCTGAAGCCTGAAGTAACTCTAGAAAGAAATTGTCTATCAATTATGGATTACTTAGTTTTATGGTGGTAAAACGTAAATCCGTTTCCATAATATTTACCAAAAACATTTTTGTTACTCCTAATATATTTATCAATATCCATTCTTAAATCCACACGTAGTGTACATTTTTTAGGCTTAACTCTGGATGAGGGATTGAAGTGGACAAAGCAATGTTCTAACTTAATTCTATTGCACTTTATCAACTTTATTGATGCCAGTAACCTTGTACATAGCATTCTATAATTAGGCATTGTGATGTTTCTGCATAGGGCATAAAAAACATAAAAAAGAATCTACATAGATCCACAGGCATTGTGATACATATGACTTAGTTATAAACCATTAACTAGCCTGTTTTACAGTACATACTGCATAATAAATACGGGAAAGACTTATATAGATCCCTGTGTATTTTTTTATGCTGATAGAGTATGAATTCATTTGTGCCGTCATTTTGTTTAACATCCATATGATATTTCGTGTCGTCTTTTTCATTCAGCTTCTTTCTATAATTTTATTTTTAAGTTTGTAATCCACGGAGGACGTAGACTCCACCGTTGTAAAAATGTTCTTCTTTGATTTACTCATTTATGTATTTTTAACAATTAATAATGAAACCAAATTAGTTTTTAAGACTAACCAGAAAGTATACCCTTTCTGAAGAATTTTTCGTCCAGTAAATAACGTTTTGCCGATCAAGACCGCATAGAAGACGTTATATGTTAGGCGTTAGACGTTGTTAGACGTTGTTAGACGTTGTTAGACGTCGTTAGACGTCGTTAGACGTTGTTAGATGTTGTTAGACGTTGTTAAAAGTTGTTAGATGTTGTTAGATGTTGTTAGATGTTGTTAGATGTTGTTAGACGTTGTTAAAAGTTGTTAGACGTTGTTAGACGTGGTTAGACGTTGTTAAAAGTTGTTAGACGTTTTTAGACGTTGTTAGCGTAACGCGTTAGACGTTGTTAGACGTCGTTAGATATTGTTAGATATTGTTAGACGTTGCTATACGTTGTTAGACGTTGTTAAACGTCGTTAGACGTTGCTAAAAGTTGTTAGACGTTTTTAGACGTTGTTAGACGTAACGCGTTAGACGTTGTTAAACGTCGTTAGATATTGTTAGACGTTGTTAGATGTTGTTAGACATTGTTAGACGTTATTAGACGTTGTAAGACGTCGTTAGACGTCGTTAGACGTTGTTAGACATTGCTAGACGTTGTTAGACGTTGTTAGACATTGTTAGACGTTGTTAAAAGTTCTTAGACGTTGTTAGATGTTGTTAGACGTTGTTAAAAATTGTTAGACGTTTTTAGAAGTTGTTAGATGTCGTTAGACGTTTTTAGACGTCGTTAGACGTCGTTAGACATTGTTAGACGTTGTTAGACATTGTTAGACATTGTTAGACATTGTTAGACATTGTTAGACATTGTTAGACATTGTTAGACAATGTTAGACATTGTTAGACATTGTTAGACATTGTTAGACATTGTTAGACGTTATTAGACGTTTTTAGACGTTGTTAGACGTCGTTAGACATTGTTAGACGTTGTTAGACATTGTTAGACGTTGTCAGACGTTGTTAGACGTTAGATGTTAGGTCGCTGTTTGATAATACAGTCTGCCTTGATTTCGTTACTATGGTTACAATGTTCCGGTTTATTGCCAAGTGGCAGTTCGTTGATTTTTAATTTGTTGATTATGTCAAACTTGTACTATCTAAGATCATTGAGAACAAGGCGTGGAATATAATTGAAGACCAAGAATTTTGAGTTTCAGTATTGCTATGTAGAGTGACTGATATTTGACTTTCATAGCTTCCCTGGATTTAACGGCAAAATTCAAACCAGTTGTTTTATATTTTATTTTTAACAAAGGCGATAGAAATGAAGTAAATTTGAAAACGTCGAAAATAATTAATTACAAAACCGTCAAGTTATTATTAGGGATTTTAAAAATAGGTGTCACCGAAGCAATTTTCCACATTAAAGGAAGTGTGTGAGATGTAAAGGAAGATGTCGTAATGATGAGAACTCGACATTGCATAAAGAGGTTGCTTTTCGGGCATCGTGACTAACTGGGATGTCGCCTGTAGGTTCTAAAGAAAATACTTGTGAAAAATGGTTGGCCAGAGCTTCAGCTGTTTCTTGATCATTATTACATAAGTTTCCATCCGTTTTTTTAAGAAGCGAGACTGATACTGTGGAAGATAAAGAGCATCTTATGTCTTTTGGTTGCTTTAATTTTTTTCCACATATTTATCTTATGTTTATTTAAAGTTAAAAGTTCTCCATTGATCCAGGGTTTTAATTTGTTCTGAGGACATTGTTTTTTGTGTTAGCATTCACAATTTCAGATATCTTTGTATAAAATAGTGTCCACATATCTTCTACTAATACAGTACTTCTAAAAAAGTGATTCCAATCAATTTCGGAGAGTTCTCTCTTTACATTATTAAAGTTTGTGACACTATAGGTTACGTCCTTATCGGGATTAGGGGTTTCTATGTTAAATTGGAGAAATTAGAACTTGGTTGTCATTTGTTAATATAAGGTCTAGAGTTGAAGGTTCTTGATTTAAGCGAAATCGGGTAGATTCGTTTATAAGTTGTTCAAGATTGGAGTCTATGATAAAATTTATAAATTGTGAAACAGAGTTTTGCGATACTTCAAGACCTGTAGGAAATTTATGGAAAGTTGAAATCCCAGTTCTAAGACCAGATTGTCATGAAAAATAGGTTTGAAAGTACCTGAAAAAGCTGTTGGTCGTTTTCTAGAGAAGGTTTCTTTGGAGGACGATATAAACATCCCATAGTGGTTAAGAAAGAGTTTTAACGAAATTAAATCTATATTGGAAATGTTGATATCTAAGGCGGTGATAGAGTAAGTAGATGCAGACCCCTCCATCAACATTATTTGCGCGGTCGCTTATGTAAATTGTAAATCCAGGAATGTTAATAAGTGAATCGGGAATAGACAACTTGAGCCAATTTTCAGAAATTAGAATAATACTAGAAGAAAAATGTTGCACTGGGCACAAAAAACTATTGAATTTAGCAGTTAGAGAATCCAGGTTAGTATATGTAAGGGTCCAATCGTTAAATTGTGGAGGTTGTCAGCTAGTGGAATACCGTTATGATATTTAATTAGGTTATTTTCGCCATTCCTCTTTTTTAGCTTCCAATTCATCTCTTAAGTCTTGAAGAATCTCTTGTTGGGTAGGGGTTTTGTCGTCGATAATGGTAATGTTTTTCAATGCTGCTTTTTCTAAGACTTTCTTTTTGTTTCATAAAACGCTTTTGGCGGCGTGTTCGGAGGGCACAATTACTTTGAGCCATCGGGGATAGCGACTATTTTGTTCAGCTTGATCGGAAGAATTCACTGCCTTCAGTACATTATTAATTTCTGTGAAGAAATGAGAATAAAATGAAAAACTAACATATTATGGTTACCAAAAATGAATCAATAAAGTATTAGAGAAATACCTTTCAATAAATATATAAAGTTGATTCCTAGACCCTATGATTGCAGTGTCATTTATCTATAAAATAATAATGATCACTAAATAAACAAAAATGCTTACATTTCGTGCAATTACCGAACCAGCAAGTATTCAAATATCTACATGATTGATGACGTATGTAAACCACACGATATATTTATCTTTTCCAGTAAACATCCATGTGACAATATAGATGTTAACGCGATAAAATGGCCTCCGTGAGTGCGTGTTCGCTTATTAAACCTCTTAAATGGTGATGAGCTACTGTTTTCATAAGTTTCTACTATTTTATCGGTGTGTTTTTTCAATTAACCTACAGTAACATGTTAAATAAAATATTAGGACAAATTAATGTTCATTTAAAGATCATCGTACAATCTCAAAATTATTGTAATGTGAGCCATTTCGTTATTCAGTCATGCTCTAATCCTTCAAGTCCCTCTTCGTCTTATTTGACTTTTGATGCTCAACTTGTCCGATTATCATACATAATTAAACCTCTTAAGAGTATGACGAAGGCGCTTTCGATTACTATTCGAGAAAGAACGTGATAATGTTTCTAATTTTCGCGAGAACGTTCTGGAGCCCACCAGAAATTTTATTGGACTGCGAAGATAAATAGTGAACAATTTAAAGACATTCGAAATATAGGGTGTTTCATAATATATGCACAGGACTTCAGGACGTGATAGCTCGTCCAAAAATATGAAAAAACGTTTCTATTAACTTACCCTCTAAAATGCACCATTTTCGAAATACAAGGTGTTGAAATTGAAAAAAAAAAAATTCTACGCCACTGGAAAAAGTACGGTTTTGAGACGCCCATTTGAACCGCCAATGTTTTCTACACAAAAAAGGTACTTTAGGTCATACGCTCTAAAGTCGACCGTTTTCGAGAAAAATCAAATTTTAATGTTGAAATACATGATCATACATACTTGATGAAACAAAATTTAATTTTTCTCGAAAATGGTCGACTTTAGAGCGTATGACCAAGAGTACCTTTTTTGTGTAGAAAACATTGGCGGTTCAAATGGGCGTCTCAAAACCGTACTTTTTCCAGTGGCGTAGATATATATGAATTAAAATAGTATTGTTTTTAAATAAATTATTAATAAATATTATTAACAGTAAATCCATCTGAATAATTTCACTTGTTACCCCCTCTATTGGGAGATTTTATTCTGATTTACTCGTATACTTCCTCTATGACCAAAGTAACCTCTTTATAATTATTCTCAAAACTTTCATTTCTGATATCAAAATGGTGATATTGAATAACGTGACGATGAATAAAAAATAATTATCAAGTGGAGATGATCTTAATGTTTTCATGAGCTCGATACCTAACGTGTTGATAGTGTAATTACGTGGCGCTCTATTTATGTTTGCATTAACATTTTCTATTTGCTAAGCGTTTATGGAGCTCTGTCCTCAGAGAAAACCGATAATTTGTATGCCATGGAAAAGGCATTAGGGATATAAAATTATACAACGAATCGGTGTTGAAAAACTAATTTAGAACGTTCATTGTTTTTAGAAAAGAGATTAGTAGGTATGTTATAAGACAAAAAAGTGTTTAACATGATAATTTAATACTAGTACTATAATCTACACAGAAAACAAGTTATCGAAGCCGTATGGAATAAAAAAAAACATATTTTTACGTTAAAAAATTAGGAAAAGCAAGTGGTTTTGTTTGTTTTCAGGTTCTATAAATGTACCAGATTTTTCGAATTATATTTGCAGACAAAGTAAACCTATAATACTCTTCACAGAGTACTGTATGAAGGGTAGAAAAAAATGTGTAAGGTATAATAAACAATTTAAATAGGTCAAAAATAATATTCAACTTCTTTTACCAAAAGATACTAAAAGTTTGAAATAGCAGCACATAATTGAACATTTACAGAAATTAGTGAACTAAAATATTAATATACACATCGTAAAATGTTATCACACTTAATTCTCCATATGACCCTTTTTAAGTGTATTTCACAGCATATTCCAAAGTATTCTTGCTCTCACTAATGTCCTACCCTCATGGCTGACTTTTGCATGTCCAAGTTTACTTAAAAATAATGTGTTTTAATAAATAATAGAATAATAGTAATTTTGTCTAAATAGGTAAATCACACAATTATGAGAATATGGCTACTGTTATGAAGATATGGTTTATTGGCTTTTTGTCTTGCACATCTAGCAATACTTTTATAATCTTGAGGACAAGTTTTTTTAATTCTCTTAAAATTGCCAAGTGCATCGAGTCACACTCCATTTCGCTCTGCTCCACCACTAAAAACGTGAGATATATAAGTGTAAAAAAAACAAAACTCCAACTTTTCGCAAACATTTTAAAGCCTACGTGTTTTACGACATTATTATTATTTAAACAGGACGTTTCGGAAGGCTTATCCTTTTGTCATCTGTTTGTGTATCTTGTGTGTATGCATTCTGTTGTGTCTCTAGTCATGTGAAAGTTCTCCTACTCTATTAATTTGGTGACTGGATGGATCTTCTCAAACTAACGTGTTTTTAACCCTTGAGAATCTGCTTCACATATTTTGAGTGAAAAAACCTCTGAATCAGGTGCCCATTCATAGTTTTTACTTTAGCTATTCTGGACACTTTATCTTTTCCTGGATATACCTCAATTATGTTTCCCAAGGCCAATCTCCACGTTTTTTACTATAATTTTCTATATAAACTACATCACCAATCTTTAGGGTACTTTGTTTTCTTTGACCAACGTTGATTAGTTTAGCTAAGTATTCTCTTCTGTCTCCCACGTTTAACTAAATATGTTCGATCAATAGCGTCCAAATCAGACACTTCACAGCTACTCCCTGTCATTTAGGAAGGTAGAGGAACTTAGGGGAATAAAGTTGTCTTCTTCTGAGAGGTCGGGCATTGACAACGGCTTCTGTGTCACACAAAATTGTAATTATCTCTTCATAATTAAATGATCCTCTTCCTAAATTTTTTCGAAGTATATCCTTAACTAGTCTGACCATAATATCCCACCATCCTCCTCACCAACAGGCAGTAGGTTTGATTGTATTTGGAAAGATATAAAAACTTATCAACAATCTGAATTTCAGATACCATAATAACGCTTACAGATTTCTTCATTTCTGCATTTAGTTCTTTTTCAAAATAAAGTATTTCATTGCGTGTTCTCCAGTAATGTTTTAACGCTACATCTGTTGGATTGATGGAACCTGTAAGATGATTCCATTCTTCAATCTGACTGCATAGTCGGATTTCCTTGACTCTATTTCCAACAAAAGTATTCCAGTTTGCTTTTTTTTAATCCACGTTAAAGCTACTATTGAATCGCTCCAATAATAAGTCTTTATCTGTTCAAACAATGGTATATTTTTTATAGATTGATATAAACGTATTCCAATTACTGTAGATAGCAATTCAAGTCTAGGCAGAGTTAATTTCTTAGGAGATACTCTAGATTTGTCTGAACTAAGTGAATAAATACATATTCTTGTCTCTTAGCTCTAAGGAACTGGATTGAGTTTTGATTTGCAACATTCCTAAAATAGGAGAAATATTTAGTTTATTGATGGGGAGGATGATTGCTGTCCTCCAAATTTCTTTTCTAGATTTTTGTAAATTTAATTCATTGGCACAATGCTTTTAATATATGATTTCTGTGAACCTGAATCACACAAAGCCCTAATGACCTTAATTTTAATATTATTTATAACTTTGACGTAACTTGTGTTAGAACTACATTTAGCAATTCCCTGTGGTTTACTTCAATAAGCATATCATCTCTAGCAAATCTGGTCTTTAACTGTTCAATAACCTTAACATAACTGGCTTCATGAGGTGGTAAACCTTCTATTAATGGAGAAAATTTTTCTTCAGTAGCTTGTATCAAATACGTCAATTTCGGGATCTTCGTGAATTTTTCTAAATTGTCTCCATTGCTTAATATCTCCATTAAATTTCTTCAATTCTAGGTAAGTTAAATTTTCTCTTATGCCTTCTACTGGTGGAACTTTGTGTGTCTTTTGATACTTCTTCTTGTTAACCATCATCATTCGTTATTCTAAATTTACAGGTGGTTATTTTCTTATGGGATCGATAGATACCTACATATATGGCAAACAACCAGAAATGATGTCCTATAAAATACTTATTAATTTTTAATTAATTATTAGTTTTAACAATGTTATTATTCTTTTTTATTTTAGCAAGTAGCCACGCCGACCGTTGTAAAGAAAATACTCCGCTTTAAACAAGAAAATCCGGGCATGTTTGCCTGGGAAATTAGGGAACAACTCATATCCCAAAGGATATGCGAACCACACAACATTCCCTCCGTCAGCTCAGTCAACCGGATTTTGCGGAACAGCGGAGTTTGGCCTGATCCCCCCGACATGTTACATCATCGAGTCACGCATTCATCGGGTAGGAATATTTTCAGTTTTACTGGTAACTAAATAGATATATTTTTTTATTAAACAAATTAAGTGTAAATCAATAGTGGAAATTTTTCCTGTAGGTGACTCAGTAAGAAAAAATTTTATTGTGTACTTTTACAGGTCTATTTTTATTTTCCAAATGTCTGGGGCACATAAATAAGGCGCACGTGGACCTCATAAAATAGGTTGTGACGCCAAAAACTGAATATATTTTTGTTTTAAGTGCATAATTGCAAAAACATCTTTCAAGTGCCGATGTGGACGGTAAAATTGCTGTGTTGCTGATACCTTTTCTTTATAAAGAATTCATAGGTAAGGTTGGCTAGTCTGTGAATTCTTTATAAAAAAAGGCATTAGTAACACAACAATTTGGCGCCCAACGTTGTTCGCCAAATTGCTGTGTATAAGCTCAAATCAAAATTTCCGTGCCAAAATTCATTCTGTCAATTTTTACAGCAGAGATGATGACTCAGTCGTAACTGTGAATTTGTTTCTAGGTTGCAAAATCAAATTGTCAGAACGTTATCAAGGTATCGCTGATTAAAATATTATGTTTTACTTTTAATTAATAGCTGAAAATGAGGTTGTAGACGAAGATAATGTTATAGTATTTGTATATGTTTTTAATAAGATGTGCAATTTTTCACGAAACTTCTTTATTAGTTTTATTACCTAGTGATGCCATTATGAACACATACCGGCATATTTCGTTCAAATAAAGCCTCAATAATCAAGAGTTTAAGTCCAATCAAGGAATCATCCACTATAATTATTTAAAATTTAATGTCTAAACTAAAAATTCAACGCCTAATTTCATGAGAAGTTCTCACCTGTTGTAATAAAATGTAATTTCTGAAAAAAGACATAAACACATAATTTTAGTAATTTTCAATTCGAATTTTACTTTTTTTATAAATTGACGTCCACATAGATAAAAATCATGTGACTGTAGTAGTTTGTTGATGCGGGATTTAAGGGTTTGGGTCTTTTATACATCAGTATTAACTTGTTTTTTTAATTTTAATTTTTTTTTTGGAGTACATTATAAAAATAAGGTTATAAAAAAATGTTTATTTTTGCTTTTTTATAAATTCATAGGTCGACTTAAACAATGAAAAAATCTAATAAACTAACTAATAAATCACTTTGTATAAAAAACTTGCGTGGCCCACAGAACCCGGTACAATTTTTTGGCATATAAAATTCTACTATAGTCTATTTTTATGTATGAGAGAGTATTAAAATAATAAAGCGTTCGTAATCCATAGGCGTAGCATTGCTTTTAGTAGACAGTTAAAATATTTTTTGAAGTTATTCCTCGAGTATACACTTATATTTTCACCTAATTAACCTGCTTATAACTTCTAAACAGCTGAAGGTAAAAAAGTGCAATTTTTTCTAACATGTTTTATTTTTCCACAAGGTATGTTAAGAACATTGTGTCAAACGGGTTATGTAGGTATAAGGGTTTAAACTTTGACTTTTAAACAACGTTACGTTCATAAATAATAATTTTAATATAAAAACTACTTCTTATCTACAAATCCAAATCAGAATCGAAATCAGAAGATGGAACTGTCGCAACCAATATTTACAATGAGTGGCTCGATCATTTCATCAGTAATATTGTCCAACTTCCACATTTTCTCTTCTTCTTTAATCGTATGATTTACTGCCTTTTTCCAGTTTTCAGGCTTCACATTATTTACAGCCTCCAAAAACAACTGTTTAACATCACTCATTTTAAAAGAATTATTTTTTCTTGAAACTTCTCCATTTATCTGTGCCCATATTAGTTCAATCGGGTTTACTTCGCAATGATATGGTGGTGAGCTAACCGTTTTTTCATTAACTGTTAAAGGACCGATTTTTTGTCGTTTACGCGGCTCTTCCAAATTTTCCATGATCACACTAGAATTCACACTGCACCTTGCAAGTTGCAACTAAACGACATTTAGTAAACTATCAAGAATACACAACTTGGACCTCCTTACTAAATGGAAAACCTATAATCGCATTTTCGGTGAAATTTGTTGGGAAGGTATTTATCTACTTATAATTCGATTACTGTAAGAAATTCTTGGAATTAAAATAAAACAAAATTGGCAAATAGGTACTTATTGAAAATAATCTTAAGATACGGCTATGTAATCTTTAATACACAGGGCTTTTGGCCTGTCCAAACCTTTTTCTATTGTTCTGTACAGCTTATGTTTATAAAGGACCAATAAAAGACCCAAAACTTGTAATACCTCAGGTACATTTATTACAATTTTAGGAAATATTTAGATTATTCTGTAAAAATATTTAAAATGACCGTACTAAGTTTTGCATTAGAAATGCTGTTTTATTACTCTCTCATACATAAAAATAGACTATAATAGATATTGGTTCCGGTTTTGTTAGCAGCTTTTTGTAGAAAATTTTGTTACAAATCTTTATCTATAGTTATGTTTTCTCTAAAGTAAAGCGTTTAAAAGATATTGTAAACAAATCAATACGATGTCCCTAAAGGTAGTAAGGAAGGGATGAAGCTTGATCCTTAGAGGTGGAACTTTGTCGATATTATTATGTATTCCTACATACGAGAATTATCTTTAAATTTAGGCTTACTATAAGTTTTTTTCTTTTTCACCTAAATTTGTTTAATTTATGTCATACATCTACCAGCACATTCCACCGTCTAGATAAGAATTCGGTGGCCTTTTCAGACCGTGACTAGTCTGTTATAATTCAGTTTGATTCAGCATGCAGTTTGATATCTACGTCAAAAGTGGTATTTTGTTAAATTACTAATAACACTTTTGCGAGGGAATTCAACTAATTACAAAATAGGTTAGTAAATTAGTTAAAAATCAATTAAAATACTTTTTATTTACAGATTCTATTCTCAGAGGAGAAATCTACTCCAAAGCTGTATCACCAGTAAATCCAACTCTTCCTTACTACCCATCTATGCCTGATCCTTCCTTTATTCCTACTAATAGATTTTCATCATTTCAACGTCAACTACACATATCGACATCTTCTTCATTGGAAATTATCCCTTCTGCCAATTGGTCGAACCTTATTGTACCCTGTCAACTCTCTAGTAACAAAGATCCACTTTCCTATGGTAGTTCTGATAATAAAAAAGATCCATCCGTGACGGAAATAGAAAGAAACGATGGAAAAAAGAAGAATCCTTACTCCATTGAAGAGCTACTAAAAAAACCCGTTACCAGGAATAAACCAATCAGTTTCGAAAGCCTTGGAGTTCATCAACCTTATGGAGGGCTAGTCAGTACAGAAGATTTGAAAAGCACTAATTATAACAGTGATAGTGAAAGTGAAACCGAACAAGATATTAAAATTGAAGTAGTGTAGGATGTACATTATAATAATTACGGAATGGTGTATAAAATGTAGTATAATTTGATTTATAAAATTTTGTTGGCGCCATATTTCTGAAATACTGATAAATTATATGATTTGAAGCTACTTTCATCACAATTTCTTTTGAGTGGTTACATGTACATTAATAAAATTTGAATTAGAAAAAAGACGTCATGATAACTAATTTTTAATTTAAAAAATGGTTTGAAAGGTATTTTTTTACTTTTAGTAATTTTTAAAAAGTCATTTAAATTTTATTGATTTATTTGTAACCGGTCTAAAGAGTATATGGAGAAAAAGACGCGAATTATATCAGGTTGGTGGTAAAGTTTTCGGAAAATAATTAAGTGCTAAAGATACACTAGTGAAAAAAATTAAGGGATCAAAAAAAAAATCTCGATTTTTGCGATTTTTCGAGTGGCTGTATCTTTGGTAAAAATGGACATACGTGAATGAAAAAAAAAGCAGTTTGAAGCTTGAAGTGTCTAGTTTATGGATCTTGTGGTAAAAAGTTTTTCTAACCAACAATTAGCGTAAAATCCTGATGAATATCATAGATAGATATTTTTTGAAAAAAAATTTTTTTTTTTTAATATTTAGTGTATGGACATGAAAATAATTTTCTCGACATAACCGCTATATGTATTGGATAGATGTTTTAGTTAGCTTCAATTCCTTTTTTGATGGCTTCGAGAAGATCCTTCCTTGCTGAGTTAACAGAAAATGAACGAAAATGCGTCATTTCCTCTTCTCTCGTCAATATCTCCGGAATCAATGGCCGCTCAGAAAATGGAAGAGGGGTTTTGGAAACTTCTATTCATTCTCTACAAGGTTCTGGCATGTATTTTCACGAGAATTTTTTTTTTCATCCCTAGCATGACTTTGAAGAATTTCGGAAAACATGTATTTTTGAAGTTTTTTAAAAAATCACATGTCACATTGGAAATATTAGAAAAGTTAATAATGTTGAATTGTTCTTCCAAAAGCCCTACAAAATTTCAACCTGATCCATCAAACCGTTTCATTGTTTTATGCGAATAAATATTTGAAGAAATTAAAGGATCGCGTTTTTTTAACCATGATATTCATCAGGATTTTGTGCTAATTGTTAGTTGGAAAATTTTTTTATTACAAGATCCATAAACTTGACACTTCAAGCTTCAAATTGCCATTTTTTTCATTCAGGTACGACCATTTTTACCAAAGATACAGCCTCTCGAAAAATCGCAAAAAAACGAATTTTTTTTTATCCTTTAATTTTTTCCACTAGTGTATTTTGTTTTTACTTTTAGTAATTTTAAAAGTCATTTATCAATTTAAATATCCCAAATTTTAAATTTTATTGATTTATTTGAAACCGCTCAAAAGGGAATATGGAGAAAAAGACGTCTATTCATTTTTATTTTTTTTTTATTTCTTTAAATTTTTTTAAATTTATTTTAATTCTTTTTTAATTTTTTTTTTCAATAATTTTATTTAATTTTTTTTATTTTCTTTAATTTTTTTAGTTTTTTTTTTATTTTATTTTTTCAATTTTTTTTAATTCTTTTTTTATTTTTTTTTATTTTTTTTATTTTTAAACTTAATATTAATGTTTTTCTGACTTGTCCCATCATCCTCTGGACAATAACAGGGTAGACTTTGTGAATTTTTTTTAATAATGCATCGTCGTATTTAATCTTCATTTGTAGCTTTCCATCCCTTGTATACTTTCTTTTCACGTCAATGGCGTAGCCACGGGAGAAGGGAGCAGAACCTCCCATGGAATTATATATATATCAGCACTACGGGCCTAGAAGGTCCATGGCTTCGTAGCCTATTTTCCTCCATTCTTTTTTGTTTCCTGTTCTTCTACGCCAATCCCTTATCCTTATCTCGTTTAGGTCTCTTCTTCTCTCGGTTATTCCTCCTATTAATACTTGCTTTGTTGGTCTTTCATCTGCTAGTCTCGCTATATGTCCTGGCTTCATTTGTTATAGAGGGTTATCCATATAATTACATTATTTACTTTCTTTCTGCCACATATCTTTCTAAGTACTTTTCGAATATTTCCAATAAGTTTTTCTATTTTGTTTAATTTCCATACCTTGCTTCCGTAAGTGACTACTGGCCTGATTATCGTTTTATAGATTCTCTTCTTTAGGTTTTTTGACAAATTCTTGGATCTAAGGAGATACATTTTATTCCTTTGGCTATTCGTTCTTCTATTTCTTCTGTCTCTTCACCATTATCGCTTATTGTGACTCCTAAGTAGCTGAATTTGGTCACTTTCTCAAACTTGTACTTTGATCCTTCAGTGTCTATTCTTAATTCTCTATTCTGTATATTTCCTGGCATTTTTTCTACTAACATGAATTTTGTTTTTACTTCATTATTAACCCCATTTCTTTTGCTGCTTTTTCTAACTTCTTTGTTGGTATTTCTAAATTTTCTCTTGTTCTTCCAATTGACTTTTCTGATTATATATCGTACTTTTTGTCTTACTGCAGAGTCTAAAATTATGTTAAATAATGTCGTGGATAGTCCTTTATCAACTTTAAATTTGTCTGATGTTTGACCATTAACAAGCACTTTATAATATGTTCCAGTTAGTGTCATTTTTACTAATCTTATAAGGATTTCCTGTATTCCTAATTGTTGCATCGCCCTATATATTTTTTCTCGTTTTATCTTATCATAAGCTCGTTTAAATTTAGACTATTATCTATTAGTTGTTTTAATATAAATACCTGATCGATGACTGATCTATTTTCTCTAAAACCACATTGGTATTGTCCTATTTTCTGTTCTACGGCTTTATTTATTCTATTCTTGATTGCTATAGCCATTATTTTATACGCAGTGTCCATCAAAGTCCTTCCTGTATAATTTGCACAATTAGATATATCTCCCTTTTTTATGTACAGGACAAATTAATGATTCTTTCCATCTCATGGGCATATTTTTCTCTATGCCACCAACTGTCTACGTAAACTTTTTATTATTAATATTGGGAAAAAAGTTATTTTTTATAAAAAGTCGAGCATGGTCTAAAACCTCAAATACAACCATCAGATATCAAATTTTATCAGTCGTATAAAGAATAAAGGTACTTTAATCTTGAGTAAAACTCATATTTTTTGACAAACCTCGTAAATCACTGAAAAAATTTGATATTTGATGACTGTATTCTAGGTGTTAGATAATGCAGAACTTTTTATGAAGAATAACTGTTTTTTCCTAAAATTAATAATAAAAAAGTTTTCCATATGTTTCTCTCCTTGTTACTCTCCTTTCCAAAACCTAAGTTTCGTAAAAAAATGTATTTTTAATAGAAGAGCGTCTTCCCAATATTATTCCTTTACGAATATCTAACGTTAAAAGATATTTTCCTGAATTAGAGCAAAAAAACTAAACTGTCAAAATTAAAAAAGTTAATAGTTACATTTAATTTCCAACGACAATCTTAAAATTTTCCGGAAACTTGAAACCATATATTAGCTGACATAACAAATCAAAAAGTCTTATAACATCACACCCACTCGCGGACGAGACCACCGTATTGTCTACGAACCGTTGGTAAATACCAAGAAAACTTGGTAAATTGCTTATAACGTTTTTCCTTTGATAGTTTGCTAAAATCGTCAAAGCTGAACCATTTGCAACGTTGTCCTTGATAATTGTTCATGTTTTTTTCGAAAACTGTTGAGATTTGTACCCATATGTTATGCAAAAGACTTTTTGGTAAATTTTGATGTCAACTACCACCTATTGAAAATATTTTAAACCATAACCAAACTTATGTTGTTTGCAGAAAAGAAGTTTAAGAGTTTTACAATATAAGTTAGTGTTTATTTATTATTTATTTTAATTTATTACTCTGAAGAGAAACTAAATATGAGTTATGAGTTGGATAATTCTAATTTTTTGCAAAAGGTACTTAGAATAAAATTCATAAAAAAAAATATTTGAAGACTGAATAGATTGACATAATTATTCGAGAAACACAAGTAACAAGTAAAAAAAGAAGTATTATCCAACCTATAATAAAGATAAATAGGTTTAAATTTAAAATACTCATGTACCCAATAGTAAATGGGTTAAAAAATTAACAAACCAAAGACTATTATTTAAAAATTACAATTAATCATAAAAGAAATTACATAATATTTCAACAAAACCGTAATATTTATGAATATCATTATACAATACAGAGTGTAACAGAATGCAATGCAAATATTTGACAGAGATATAATTCGGACTACATTTTAGAGCAAAACGTCTAAACAGATACAGTGTGTCCCATTAGTGCCTAATTGTTCAATATTTAAATTTGTTTCAGATAAAAGTTATTTTAAAAATATTTTTGGATATACAGGGTGTCGCGTTTTTGCGTGGCAAATAAAAATTCATATTTGTAAATAGAATAAATATAAATAAATAAAATGTTTTAAAAAAACATCACAGGATTGCCAAGTAATCAAATAGTGATAATAGAAATGGTTTCTTTTATACAGAGTGTTTTGAAACATATTATTAAATATAGCTAATTTTAAATTCAACTTACTCAATTTGTTTAAATGCAACACCTTGTATATTTGAGCATATAATTCTTTGTAAATTTGCCTATCCAACGATACCTACCAACATGTTCCAAATGAAAGACAGCAGCAGTAGAAATTAAATTTCAACCCTCTTCCTTGGATTTTTCTCACTCTTACTAAGTAAAACGTCATCTTGAACCGGTTTCGTCCTTATTAGGACTCATCAGCAAGAAATAGATGGTTCTCAATTCCAGCCTTTAACGGAATTAACGAAGGCAATACATTTACTAGTATACGTTGTGAAAATGGTGTCGCCATCTATTCCTAGTAGGTAAGCTAAAAACTTGTAAATGAGTACTTTGGCGACGTTCTTCACTGGCTAAGGAGCTAAAAAAGGCCTCGCCATTTCAGAAGGATGCACAGTTTATAGTGTGGATCGGCTAATAGATACAGATTTACTACTGACTTCGAAAATATTTGCTTTGTATTATGGTACATACACTAAGTTCTTAACTTAACATCTAAACAGTAATTTCGTTTAATATCCATGAAAATTTAAGGATAAGGTAATAAAATTATTAATAAAATGACCATAATGCGAGGACTTTTGATTTGATGGAAGCTTACATATTTATTTAAATAGCTCACAGTATTCATCATTATATTCATATACAGGGTGATTTTTTGAAAAGGGTCCACCCTCGATAACTTCGTTCTCGTCTTGATTCAGGTAAAATCCAAAAACAGGTCAATTTTTATTCTTAGGGGTACACATTTTTAGATCACAACTGATTTTGTCGGATAACCCCATGGTCCTACCAACCCCCATCCCAAAAACCTTTAATAGCAAGGGGGGCCGAGTGACCCCTCGTTGGAAAGGTTTTTGCACCCTGTATAATAAACTCATTAGTAGCCCATTTTTAGTCATTTAGTTCTAAAATAAAACATTATTTTTTCACTTGACTCACTGACTCACATAGTAGTACTTAGTACTGGGAAGTTAGTTACTACTGGAAACTTAGTACTGGTAACTTAGTACTAGTCACTAAGTACTGATAACTGAGTACTAGTGACTTAGTACTGGTAATTTAGTACTGATAGTAAAGAATTACATTTTTAACGCGTCGTCTTGTATTTCAATTTAAATTATTTGGTCACTTTATAAATATTTGTTGAAATATTAAGTAATTATGTATGAGCAAAAAATAAAAGTAGATTTGTAAATCTAGTTGAAAGTACCAATGTATGTGAAAATAGAACTAGGGTCTATCTTAAGTTATTTTAAGTATAGAATTTCATTTGTTGGCTAATGCTAGTGATCTTACTTTATGTGAAAATGTTAAATAAAGAAAAAAATTACTATATACAGGTTGGTTTCTATAAGTATGTAGATAGATGTAGTTTTTATATTATTAGTTTTCAGGTTAATTATTTAGGATCTAAGAAAAGGTAAGGGCATGCTTTTATTTTTCTATGACTTGGATAATAAAAGAAAAAAACATCAAACTAGTGTTATATGTGTCTGTTGTACTGAAATTAGGTATCAGGAGTTTCAATAATGTTTGCCCCAGAGTTGGGTGTCAATATTGCTATGAATGTTATAAAGATAATTGTAAAATATATTATGAAATGAATTTGAATAGTGTTAATTTTTTTTTTTATATCAGTACATAATATTCAAACCATATACCATTACTTTATCGTAAACTTCAATCAGCTATAAATGTAACATCATTGTGTTTAGACACTTACCTCTATCCCTCGTATCGTGAAATCTTACCAATTTTGAGTAGGAACATAAGACTCCACTGGATGTTGTTTTATGTCAGCTATGTAAGTATTTAGATCTCAGGGCTTTAAAATTGTGGATTCCAAAAGGCTTCCTAGTATAAACCACTCAGAAAAAGAAACAGAGTAATTATCACAAACATTTAATATTATTAAAGTGGAAATAGAAATGATTAATACGTTCAAATAAAAATTTTAAGGACTAAAAATGGCGCATTCATACCAATCATTCATGAAGCCACCTATACACAAATTAAGATAGAATTATATAAAATATGTTGTACAGAATAAATATACCCTCAATAGGTATGCGCTTCACCTACTGTTTTGGAGGTGGCGCCACGATTACTTTTTTATTTATAGTTAACGAATTTACCAGTGTTTATTTTGTGGTTTATTCTGACAGTGTTCATGCATTAGTATTTATTCGTAATGAAATACCTTATATTTCCTTATGTTAGAAATGTCCCGTCGTTAACACATATATCTTCCAGCAGTATAGATATGTCTTTATGTAGACATAAAACCACAGGGCACAGAGTAGTCGTCAGCAAAATATGCAGAAGTTCATACAAAGCGTCTCACAAACCATTTGTCGGCATTTTCTAGGATAGATTCTCTAGGTACGGGATTAAATGTTCAATTGGCAGGTAAGTACACATACTATATTACACTAAAGCTTTCGATACCTTACAAACTACCTCACACAGGTATAGATCTTTAATTTTTCTGTTTCTCTTTCTTCCTTGATTGTAAAATACTTAATTTTTTTTATAAAATTTGTGGAGAAAAAATTATTACAGCCTCTCCATTTTTAGTTGTTCGGCAAAATCTTTTGTTTTATCAACAACCCCAATTTTCAATATTTGAATCTAGGCGCATGAAAATAGATTTGTCCAATCAAAATTTTGACAGTTTAGTAACTTTTTAGAAATTCAATTTGTAAAATTGTATTAATGAGTTTATTCAAACGATTTATTATAGAATTTTGATGGTGATTTATATTTGTTTCATTAATAGGTCATTTTAAAATTCGTGTTGTAGTTTTTTTTTTGTAAATTTGTTTTTCTAATGTCCGTAATTTACATGTGGTAGAACTGTCTCACTAAATCTGGTTCTTTTTGACATAATCAAAATTATCGCTATACGAGGGGTAGTCAGAAATTTTGATGTATAATTTATAGCTTTAAGTTTAATATATTATGTTAGTGATTTTCTTGATTTCTCGTAACTTCATATCCATTATACTAGGTACAAATAACTTGAAAATCATTTATAACCTATTATAACTAATTCAGATATGAAACATATTCTAAGAGACATAGGAGGGTATAAAAACTAAAATAATTCAACCTTTTTTATAGCAACTAAACCTAAAAAATGTTGAATCATTAGTTATATTAAATTTAACTAAATTAAATGTAATAATTTTCAATAAATTCCAAAACCTAGTCATGTTAGGTTGGAAATGGCAACAGGGCTTACACCGGCGTGGACATTTACGTTGTTTACTATAAACGCACAGCGGCTTACACATTTATTCAGTGGAAAACGCCATAAGAGACGTTGTAACCAAAGTTCGATTTTAGTTCAAAGACGACTTACCCAAGTCCGACTCAGCTGAGTTCTGTTAATAAATACGGACGGAGTTTTGTTTATAAAAGGTCTGTTCTGATCTTAGAACATATATAGTCAAGAAGGAGCATGCCATGTCCGCGTTGATCTAATCGATCTGACGGAAGTCAGTCAGTACTATGGATGACTCATCATCATATGATAAATGGTTTCTAAAATTGATTTTTAATTTTAGTGATTAAAATTTGTTAATAATTTGGATGTTTTATGTGTTAATTTAAACTTTTATCAAGCGTATGTTTTGTAGACATTTTTAAAAAGTATTTATTTAGTATTACTGTTAGTTTTTAATTTTTCGCGTTAAAAAACAATATGGTCAGTTGTTCGTCTTGTGGATATAGCAGCATAGCTAAAAGTAGAAAGGAACAATCTACATTTCATAAGCAAGTATTTTATTTTCTCAAATGGTAACGTTCAGTAGTTTCATATAAGTATTACAAATGATATCAAATACCTTAGAGTACAAATTGACTTAAGCATATAAATAATAATGCGTTGAATGTACATTTATACATTTATAGAATCATTATTACGTTATAGGATCCTTTCTTGGAAAGGTGTTTTACCTGCTTATGCAAAATTATCCTGCAAAAAATATTACTAATAATATGTAATAAAGAAATTCTCTTCGATATTAGGAAGCGGTGTTTGACCTAAATATAAGTATAGGATATTTAATTTTTTTAACGCATATCTACAAAACATTTATTTTTCAAATCTTAATAATTTGTAAAATGTAGATTAATAAAGACGATTTTTTTGATTTTTCAAATGAAATCCCTCTATAAATTATCCCAAAAATATTTTCTTATATTTATCCCACCCAACATGCAATTTTAAAGTAAAATTTATTCACATAATGAAGGTTAATAAAATAGCAATTCGTTAAAATGAGAGAAATCGGTAAATTTAGATAATATACAAATAAGAATTTATTTTCTTTTCTACACCCCTTTATGACAGTACGTCACTGGTAGGCCGGAAACACTTGTCGCCATATTCGTCTAGTTCACTGTCAAAATTAGATTCCATCGCGATTCCAAGGTCGTTTAGGATTTCTCCTTCCTGACTATATATATTCTAAGGTTCTGGTTCTTCAAAAATATGTTGCAAACTGTCCGAGTACTAGATGACCAATGGAAAGTTTAAAAGTTTTACGCGACGAATAATTTGGTATTTCTGTTTTGCTGAATCTCGGACGATTTACAGTACATTTTGAAGAAACCAAAACATTCCTAAATTCGGACCTGTCTGGAACTAAATAACCGGACCATTGCACTATTTTAAACAAAAAGAAGATGATAGGTGGAATGTAATCAACTAAAAGAAAAAGAAGAAGAACATAACCTCCATTGATGAAGTGTCTGTTTTTAATTTTTAAAAGTCATTTTTTTATTTATTTGCAATATATTGGTTGAAAAGTGTTGTTACTTTTATTTTTATTAGATTTTTAAATATTTCGTAAGTATTATATACGTATCAAATAAAGATATACGTTTTATATTTGCATATTTATATAACACGGAACATAATATTTGATGTAAAAGTAATTCAAATTTTTCCATAACGATTTTAAATAATATGTTTCGTTATTCAAGAATTAAATTAAATATAAAATTTATATTTACGCATAGAATACAATTTTCTAGTAACTATAAAATGGAAAAAGTAATCGACAGATCTCAATATGTTCTTCCAAACGATCAACCAGTGGTATCTTTAGAAGTTAAATCAGCGTTCGATGGTCTAACCCAAAAAGAAAAACTGTACGCCCATTATATTAGCAAAGCCTCTTGGCATGGAGGTTTGATCACCTTATTACAAACCAGTCCTGAATCTGGACCAATTTTTGTACTCTTACATAAATATTTCGCTGCACAGGATCCTACAGAATTAAGAAGTGCTGCACTCAATGCAGGATTTACTCAAGATGAAATTACTGCTTTGTATGTGTATTCATGTGGAGTTTTCTGCAATGCTGGCAACTATAAGGTAATATAAAAGTATTTTTTTAACTGTGATTACTACATAAGATACCATTAAAAATATACACTTTTTGAAAGAATTTTACATATTTTCTCTTTACTAGTTTTGTTAATTTGCAGTATGACTCAGTGTTGGAGTAGCACTGTCATTTAAAAAGCTCTACATATGAATTTATAAACTTGCAGTTGCAGTTCCCCTTAGAATTAATAATAATAATAAATATTTAAACATGCAATTTTTGAGTTATACCACTTTATTACTATCAACTAATTTGAAAACCTACAGTCATTTAGTTTTTAAACAAATTAGAATGGCCAGGGTCAATGTTTTTATATGCATTTTGTTTGCACCAATTGTTACGTAAACCCAGCCTTAAGATATTTTATTTGTATATTTCTATTTGTATTATCTATTCAATTGTATTTCTATAAACTACTTAACCATGATTTTCATTAAAGGGATTTGGAGATACAAAATTTATACCCAACATTGACCAAGACCGTTTAGAAGGTCTATTGAGCATTAGTCCAGTTTGGAAGCAATTGGAACCTCTATGGCTTAAATTAAAACATATAATTTATGATCTTAGTCCAGGCAAAACGTGTCTTGGTTATAATCCTGAAGGTAGCACCACTTATTTGTCAAAAAACTGCAAACCAGAAGATAATGACATTGTACAAAATTGGTTGAAATCTGAAAAAATGGAATGTTACAATACCAGACTTTTTAAAACTGTTGAAAATAATCATGTGAGTTAAAACAAATTAATATACTATTTATTTTATGTGTGCCAAATGCACAGATAATGTTTTGGGTCCACTCCAATATATTTATGTACCAAATTAATCTATAGCAGCTACTCATTTTTTGGTAGCAACTTTTGTGCTTCAAAAATTAAAAGCAATATTCATTTTTTTACTTTAGACAGTTGACTTTGAATGCAGATGTTTCTATAGTTTAACATGTTATTTACAGACCCTTTATTTTTATATATAGGAATGGACTTTGAATTTTTTAATACATAAAAAAGACTCATTTATAAGGTAGGTCATAGGTACACTAATATCTTCAGCAATAAAAGACAATATTGTTCCATCTTTTTCGGATTTTTTACAAGTTGTTTTCTGTATAATTTCTGTTATTTCCTTTGGGGTAGTTGGAGTTAAAAATGGAGTGCTTATAGAAAAATCTTGAAGCCTTGCTTCACTATAATTTGGTAAAAGATAGTCTACATCAGTAAACTGATTATTAAAAGCATTACATATATTTTGTACACCAGAAATTTTGTTGCCTTGACAATTTAGCATCTCGATGGGTAATTTTTTTACTGATTTTCCTTTTGCCTCATTTACAAATTTCCAACATTCTTTTTAAGTGCTGGTCTATAAACCAGAACAAGAACTTTTAGTAACTTGAATATTAAAATATCTATGCCTAATAGTGAATCTTTCAAAAATTGTATAAATTACTTAGGACTAAAGTGTTACAATGCTTTACCTCCTGAGATCAAATTAATTAACAAGCAACATTTATTTAAGAAAGGGTGCAAATCCTTCATCTACCAAAACTACTCAAAATTGTATAGATTCTTCTTAGAATAACACACATCTCACTGTAATATGTTGGAACCCTGTAGATTATAACAAAATTACATATTATATAATATAACATTGCTGCCTTATTACATTTAACATTTATATAAAAATACATTAACTTTATATTTTAGTTTTTTAATCTGTATGTATTAGTTTTTTAGTCTGTCTAGCACATACAGGTGCCCACACCTAGGTGCTAACTTATTTACCTATGATTAATTTATAATTTGTTTATTGTTGTATCCTGTCATAAATTATAATAATACCTAAATATTTGGATGTTTCTGTTTCCTGTATGTCTAAATTTTAACATGTTAAGCTTCTAAATTGAGGTCGATCAGCCACTGTCTTTGAAAAAGCAATGTAGTTTGTTTTGTTAACATTCAAAGACAATTTAAAGGTGTCTTGATGGCTTCCCAATCTTTATCACTGAAGACTAGCACTGTATCATCAGCATATGATACAACTTTACCTTGAATATCAATCTGAGTTAAGCTCTTAATGTATAAATTAAATAGTGTAGGTCCCAGAACAGTCCCTTGAGGCACTCCGATTTGTATATTTTCAGGGTTACTCACATCTCTGACCTTTACCTTCTGTTGTCTGTGTATCAAACAATTTTCAAAAACCTTCAACAGGATGCCCCTCACTCCATTCTATTCAAGAACATTTAAATGCTTCTACTAGATCTAGAAATATAGATATACACTTGTTACCAGTATTCATTTCATCAGTAACATATGAAATCAATTCATGCATAGCATCTCCTGAGTTAAGACCCTCAGTAAAGCCATATTGGTGCTTGGGAAGTAAGTCATTAGTTTTTAAAAAATCTGTCAGTCTATCTTTCATACATTTCTCAAATATTTTGGCCACATTACTAATTAAACTAATAGTCCTATAGTTAGTCAGAGGGGGATATCGCGCAGGTGTTATGGCGGCGCTGACGTCATACGTAGAGCTAGTAGAGTTGGCGCGAAATAAATATATGACAGACGCATGTTGCAGTAGTTTGTGAGTCGTTTATAGTGATTTATAAGATATTAACACGTTGATGGACAATGACGCCGATCGGCGTCTTTCCTGACATGCCAAATGTGGCAGGACGCCTTCCAGCGTTCAAATTAATATCGCTGATAAACTGAGAAACGTCTATCGGCGTCCCAAGTCCCATATTAAATGCGAAGGGGGTATGGTTTCTGCCACATTTAAGACCAATTACATTATAATACCGCCATTTTTATAGGGTCACAATTTTGTTAAACCTGACATACTTCCTGTGTTTTTTGTTTATGTTTTTTATCCTTTGAGCTTCTATTTGGAAAAATAAAAGTGTTTATTAGATATTTGTTGCTTTTTCAGTGGTGTAGCTAGAAAAGGGAGAGGGAGTTCTCTATTTCGACATACTTTACTATATTTGCCAATAAATTAAATAAAAAAGTATTCCAGAGGATTATAAAAATATTTACCTTAACATTTTAAGGATTCAGAGGGGGCCGCTCGCTCCCTTTTGGATACGCCCCTGATTTATAAAAAGTTTTTAACGATACTTCTATCAAAGTCACAGCAATTTTTTCTTTTCAAATTCCTGTAAATCAAAAAATTTTAACTTTTTCAAATTCTGGGCGGTTTGCTATACTACCAAGTCCTAATTTGCTCAAAAGTATCAATGTCATTTTGGACAGCGACCACTTTTTCCTACTGTCCATCAACGTGTTATATTATGTTGTAAATATTGCTCTCTGTGAGTGGTTTTAATGAAAAACATTGGAAAAATGCGGTACGGATGTAACAGTAACAATTAAAGCAAAGGAGTCAAGAAAGATTATGATTTTTCACTATCCTCGACAGTTAGAGCTGTTAGAAGTGAGGAGTGGCTCAAGGGCGGCTCCAGTGGGGGCTCAGGGGAGCATGTAGTTCCCTAGATTAAAATTAGTTCATCATCAGAAATATATTTGATATCACATAAATTACGTCGGATACGTTTTTTAAATTGGAATAAAATGTGTGATTCTTGTGCAATAAAGATACCTAAAACAGCCCATTTCGTGGGCTTACTGCCAAAAGTGACCAAGTCAAATTTTATGTGATTTGAATTAATATGACCGAGTCACTTATTAAAGACAAATCTACAAAAAAAAAGTCACTCAAGTCATATTTACACTGCCTGAAAGTACTAAATAAACTCAATCGATATGACTTGGCCATTTGTTATTTGGTAGATCTGATTTTACCAAGAGATTAGGTCATATTAACTCAAATCATATAAAATTTGACTTGGTCACTTTTAGCAGTAAGCCCACGATTTATCCCCTTGTACATTTTACATTATTTTTAACAGACTTCAAAAAAGAAAGAGGTTCTCAATTCGTCGCAATATTTTTTTTTATGTATGTTCAGCGATAATTCTTTATTACGGTGTCCGATTTCAATGATTCTTTTTTTGTTAGTAGGGGGGTACCTCAGGGACGGTCCCATATAAATTTGGTTAGGATGTGGTGATGGCATCTGCACGTTTTTGAAGTCGGTTTTTTTTAATTTCTAATACTTGTAAAATAAGGTGTACCTTCTGGTCGAATTTTGTCAAGTGATTGGCGAGGACATCAGGAAGTGTCATCTGCAAGGATTTAGTTTAAAATTCCTGCAAATGAGATATCAAACAATTCAAAGTTGCAAAATTATATCAGATAAAAATCGTCTTCTTTTTCTGTATTTTACCGTTTCGAATGGTCTTTCTTGATTTTTAAAATGTTGTGTATTTGTTGCAGCAGGATTTGTATCATTCGTACCATTTATTCACTCAGTTATAATAGCTAATTGTCCTTTTTCTAAGTTTTTATAAGTTTTTTAAGTTACTATTTTCGTTGCTTCAGCATAATCAATTTTCTGTTTATTTACTTGATTACTAATATTTTGTTTCTTATATCTTTGTAGATTTTGGGTACTAGGGGATTCCCTTTTTTTGGTAATTAAGTTTATTAAGTTTTTTTTGTTTATCTTTGTTTTCTAATTCATCGTCTTTAGATTTCAATTAATTAAATTTTAATTGTAGATCCAAGTCAAATCAAAAGGTTCAAAATTTTAATCTTCCTGGAATAATGGGATAATCAGACCCATCAATTATTTGAAACTTAATTAGAATACCATTAATTTTGAACTTCTGAATCCACATATTTAAAAGTTTGATTATTGTATTTAATGGACTATTCAAACAAGATATTTTGTAATAGTCTTAATTTTCTATTACCCCTTTTTAGACATTATATGAAATTAGATTAGCATCTGAAGATAAAACCTCATTAAGATCGCACACTGATGGAAACGTAACCTTTCAAATAACTAGCGGCGATTATTCGCCTCTCATGGGAAAGGTAGCTGATGATCTACTAAAAGCTGTAGAATTTGCAGCCAATGAAACCGAAATGAATATGCTTAAAGCTTACGCTAATTCTTTCAAAACTGGTTCTCTAGATGCTCACAAGCTTGGTTCTAGGTACTGGATTAAAGACAAAGGACCAGCTGTTGAAACGTATATTGGATTTATAGAAACGTACAGGTAAATTGTTAATTTTAGTCACGCCATGTTTTATTGTTGCTGGGAAATTTACTAAAAACTGTTTCTATACCTGAATAGATGGGATACATTTTATTTATTGATAAATTAAGAAGTAATTTAATTGTGTAAGAGGTTTTCTCGAATCTGAGAAAATTGTCACTTACTAATGACGCTGGTTACGGGCGGCTCTCGGGCGCCAGATTTTTGGTTATGGTTTACTCCACAAATCTTCGAAATTTATACTCGGAATTAGTTAAAAAATAGTATTAACGGAAATTGACTTCATTACAATTGAAAATACTTTGATTTGTGCTTTTTGTTCTAAATTCTAAGGGATTGGATTGATATCTTTAATATTTTAAGTCGGTTCTCAATAAATATAAATTTTAGGAATATAAATACCTGGTCTATTAGTATTTCTAATTGGAAAATCGTTAATACTAACTCTTGTAATAAGTATAAGTTTGAAATAGAATTAAAAAAGTAGGTTTATATAGTTTAAAAAATCATTTTAAAAAAATGTGTTACACAAAAAACTTATTCCACACTTATGTGGCTAAGTTACTTTCTACACTTGTTGCACAACATAGTAGTCCAGTTTTCTTTTATATTTCATGTAGGGATCCAGCTGGAGTAAGAGGAGAGTTTGAAGGTTTCGTAGCTGCGGTAAATAGAGCAATGTCTGCGAAATTTACGACATTAGTTTCAAATGCCGAACAATTTCTTACTTTATTACCTTGGAACAAAGGATTTGAAAAGGACACATTCCTGAAACCCGATTTTACTTCGCTAGATGTCGTTACTTTCGCCGGTAGCGGTATACCTGCTGGTATTAATATACCTAATT